CCCTCCCCGTCGCTCCCCCTCTTTGCCGAGCGCTGTGGCCAAATAAGGAGAACTGGATTCTAGGATCGAGCCAGCCGGCCAAGGGAGGGATGGCGGCAGAGGGTGCTGGACAGGCCCGGCAGCACCCCAAGTCCCACGGCACCCCGAGTCCCACCGGACCCCAATTCGCACCGCACCTCAAGTCCCACAACACCCCGAGTCCCATGGCACCCCAATTCTCGCAGCACCCCGAGTCCCACAACACCCCGAGTCTCACAGCATCCCAAGTTTGGTGGCACCCCGAGCCCCACAACACCCCAAAACCCACAACACCCCAAGCCCCACAACACCCCGAGCCCCCCAACCCCCTGAGCCTCACAGCATCCCAAATTCTGTACCATCCCAAATCCCGTGCCATCTTGAGTCCCATGGCACCCCAAGTCCCACGGCATCAGAGCTGTGCCTGCTGCTGGGGTGCTCCATGGGGCAGCCCCCCTCAGAGGGGTGGCTCTGTGGGGACCCTCTGCTGCCACCCCAGCCCAGCAAGCCTAGCAGAGCTCTAACCCAACGTGGCACCAACAAGGGGGTCTGTGGCTGCCCCAGCTGGGTGCTGAGCCCCAGCTTCACCCTGGCAGCCCCAGGACCTCCCTGATATGGGGGAACCAGAGAGTTCCTGCACCACAGCAGCCTGACTCGCCCCAGTCCCCAAACCCCTGGAACCCTACAGCCCCCAGCTGCTCTGCAGCAGCTCAAGGGACCCCAGCCTCAAGACCCTGCAGTGGCCTGGGACCCCCTGCACCATCCCAGGACCCCTGGGGCTGCCATCAGCTCACCCCGAGAAGGCAAAGCCCCAAGAGCTGGTGCTAGGGGGGTGACTTTGTAGGGACCCACTGGATCCCCCGCTCCCCCCTGCCCTGACTGATGGGTGATTTTGGGGCCACAGGCAAAGCTTTGGAGCCAAGGCTGAAGCCACAGGGTTGACAGCAAAGCTATAGGGCTGGCAGGATCCTGGAACAAGCAGCGTGACCAGTGCCCTGGGTCACTGCCACCGTGCTGGGCTCTACAACCCAAGCCCCCTCCCACCCCACTGCCCTCCCTGCAGGGAAACCCCAGCCCAGCCTTTCTGGGGAAGCTGGGAGAGGAGGGAGGGTGATGCCAGGGCTCCCGCCAAGGTGCGAGGAAGCAGCTCCTCCTCCTCCTCCACCGAACCTGCTTTTGGCCAGCCCAAGACACTGGATTTCCTGGAGGGAGGGTGCAAGGCTGACGCAAGGCAGGGCCGAGCTCCGTGCTCCACCCAGGCCTTACAAAACACCAACAACACGAGCAATTAGGGAACCGGCAGGGCTGGACAGCCTGCGGACCCACCGCCCGCCAGACCTGCTCCGGGCAGGGAGGGGACTGGACCGGTCAGAAAACACAGCACTGGCTGCTGCCTCCCAGCTGCTCCCCAGGCTGGGGAGAGAAGCCCCTTCCCCATGGAGCAGGCATCTCTGTAGGTCTTGGGGACCCCAGGCCACCTGTCCACGGTGGGGATGCTCCCCCTCACTGGGATACTCATCCCCCACGGGGATGCTCCCACGCTGTTGGGATGCTCGTCCTCCATGGGGATGGTACTCACTGGCACGCATGCCAGGAGGGAGCCCTGCATCCCTCTGCCTTAGCAGGGTGACACGCACCAGCCCAAGGCTTCAGAGGGTGCTGGAAGGGGGAGCTGCACCCATGGGAAGTCCCCAGTGGGTGCAGGATGGGAGCCTGCAGTGGGCAGGGGAGGATGCTGCTGGGACAGCTATTATCTCCCTGCAAGGCCAAGGCTGAGCCGGGCACGGTGTTCCCACGAGCTTGGCACTGTGTGCCAGGAGCAGGGGGCAGCCCTGGGGCTGCTGCAGGCAGCAAAGAGCTGCTTGGGGCTGGAAAGCCTGGAAAAGCAATGAGAATCCTCTTCAAACTCCACAAAAGCAAAGTGGAGGGCTGCACGGAGGGAAGGGTGCTTGGGAGATGGGTGTTTTCTAGGGAAGGGGGAGAAGGAAATACTTTGGAGGCAGCAGCTGTGCTCGTGACACTGCAGTGGGCACCCAGCTGGGGCCAGGAGCGGGTGCTGAGGTCAGGAGCAGGGTGCTGCTGGGACCAGTACAACCAGCAGTGATAGTGATCAGACTGAGGGTGTGCAGGGGAGAGGCCTGGGAGCAAAGGGACATCGCTGCTTGGAGCCCAGGGCTACAAGGCCACTATGTGGGCAGAGATACCTGTCACCCCCACGAAGCCCCCAGGCACGGGGTGGCACCTCGTCCCCAACCCATACTGGGCCAAAGCCCCATGTCCCAGCTGCACTGGGATGCACAGCCAAGAATGAGGGTCTGCCCAAAGCAGTATGTCCCACTGCCACCCCCCCAGGCACCACTCCACACCAGCCAGCCCTGCCTTGTCCAGTTTCACAGCATGGGAACCTATGTCCCTCACTGTGCTCCTTACTGGCCCTGGCCACCAACCTGGCTGGTCCCATGGTCAGTGGTGGTGTCACCTGTCCCTGGGGACAGCCCTCAGGCTGCTGCTCTCTCACCCTTTGCAAACTGGGAGAGGGGTGGCTATTGCCACAGCATCCCCCCAAACACACGAGATGCACATCCAACCACCAGCACCTGCACAAAGGGGCCTGGAGTACGTCCCCGAGCCAACACCATCCAAGGGGACAAGGTGTGGGGCAGAGAGACCCCAAGGTCTCCTCCTTACCCAGAACTTCCCTGACCCACAGTGGGACAATCCCCGGCAGTGTTTGGGACACTGAGGAGGGAAATGAGCAGACCCTGAGAAGGGGAGGTCTGGCTCCATCCCAGCTCCATCCTGCCTTCCCATTCAGGGGGCCACGGGTGATCCAGCCCTTCTCCCTCCCTCCCTGCATCCCTCCCTCTCCCCCTGCACCCGGACCCCCCGGCAAAAGGAGAAAAGTTCACTGACAAGCCCGGGCAGGCGCGGCGCAGCGCGGTGCTCAGCCCTGTGCTGGCACAGCCCCAGTGGGGAGGCCACCCTCACCCCCTCTCCCCATCACTGCCACCAGTGGCACCTGCACCCCAGTGTGGGGGAAGAAGCCCCCATCCTGCCCCATTGCTGGAGGAGGTCCCTGGGGATGCTGAGAGGGGCAGCTCCACCGGGCAGGCAGGCAGCCAAGTGAGCAAACCCCAAAGCTGGTGCTGAAGGGTACCCCCAGTGCCCCCCTGAGCCCCTCCTGGCACATGGGGGCTCAGCGAGAGCTTGGTTGGGGGTCCAACACAGGCAGCAGTTTATATACAGGCAGAGGCCTTTGTTAACATGCTCAGTACTTCAGGTAGGGGTCATTAACAGGCTCCTTGTTTCAGGCAGGGGGGCACTGGCAGGGTGCAGTGTCCCCACTGCCACCTCTGCCCACCCCATCACACGGCTGGGAATGGGGCCAGGGGAGAGGCTGCCCACACCATGGATACAGCCACAGGTCTAGAGAGCCCTTTAAATGAAACGGCTCTTCAGAGATCACAGGGGACCCCAGCAAGGCCACGACACACCAGGAAAGATGCTGCCCCATCTACCAATGTCCCCAGTACCCTGCACCGGGCCCTGGTGCTCTCAGCTCAGCCTGGCATGACCCTACAGCACTTCCCTTGCAATGGCCAAGTGCCTCTCACAGGAGCCCCACAGCCCTGGCAGCTCACCCAGGGACCCTCTGGGAACACCCTGCCCCATGTCCTGCCCTAAACCCTGCCCTGATCCCACAAGGAACACCATCCTGGCTGGCACGTGGCCGTCCTGGGGACAGCCAGCTCCCATCAGGGCAGGCAGCAGCGGCCCAGCAAGACCGGGCTTGGCAGGGAGGGTGGTGGAAGGAGGTTTGTTTACATCGTGCTCCTCTTCCAAACAGCTCTCGGGCTGTGGTGAGGGATTCCCCGGCTCGGGAAGGGAAGGGATGGGCGGCCGCCCTGCTCCCTCCCACCCAGGTTTGCATCTCCACCCTGAAGGGACCCCTGGCATGGGGTA